GCCCGAGCTATAACTCTTGCTTACTCTTAACTCTTGACTGTAGAATATACAATTCCTGTACTCGCTTGTAACGTTACTTTTTTGTGGTTCTTCGTCGAGTGTAGCCTTTTCATTGAGACCATTTTAGTGTGGTGTTTGTTTACCAAAACTGTGTAGAGTCAGAGAAGATTTGTACGTCAATCCCTATCTTCAGAAAAGTATAGTCTCACTGATTTGTAAAGTCGCATTTTGCAGATCGAACAGGATGAGCAGTACCAATTACGCAACAGTGGATGAGCTAGAGGAAGTCATTGATTTAACTCATCCACAGACGTCCCAAAGTGAAGACCAGAGAGTCTCCTCTTTCCCTTCTGATGTTGGAACTCCTATACTGACATCGTCATGTCATGATAAGTCACAAACTACTTCGGTCATGGACGTGAAGGAGACCAAGTGGCTCCCAAAGACTTCGGTTATTGGGATTATGAGAGAGTCTGCGTCTGTCATGTACCATGTTTGTTCAAGAATGATGGCAGAGAGCCTGCAATCTCATAATTCTCTCGTTATTTCCATGCTTGAAACAAGTGAAGATGGCGTTCTGCATGTAATCCGCGGTCAGACAAGCAGTCAGGTTTTAAATCAATTGGTTTATCGCTTCAAGGCTAACGGAAATTGGGATGGGCGCGTTCCATTTCTGGAAAGCAGCGAAATCATGCAGAAGCGGAGATACAAGTGCCTCGGAGTGAAGCATTGTGCGCTGGTACCATCTTCATTTAGCGGGAGAAGCCATGGAAATAGTGAAACGTTTGAGCAGCTTCTTTCCGAACAGAGAGAGATGAAGGATGGTAGCGCTTCTGCGAAGCATACCGCTAAGCGTTTGGCAAGGACTTCGTTTTTGTCGGTACAAAAAAAAGTCAACAGTGCGGGTGGGTATTTTCAATACATCAGGACTCCAACTGCATCACAAGGAGCTCCCAGGGGTAGTGCAAAAATGTCGAGGAGTCCCTAAATTAAGGAAACACAGATCCACTGGAGAATATTTCCTTGGTTGTTCTGGTTTTCGAAAGGGAGATGGGGATAAACGGTCTAGCATCGAAGGTTGGGCGTCGCGGAAGCACTCATCTCAATCTCTACATGCGTTGACAGATGAGGCTCTGGTTGAATTGCAAGAGATGTTACATAGCGGGAGAGTCGCAGACTGCAGCAAAGAGGACTGTATGTTCTTCCTCAGCAAGGGAAAGAGAACTGCTCAATGTCCGGATCACGGAACATCTCTTATCGAGACTGGGGCTTGCCCTGTAAAATTAATCCTCATGCAACCGGTCGGTCAGGTGTCGTGCGATACCGCGGTCTACAAAAGAGGTGATATATTGCGAGGACTGCCTCGAGAACAAAACACAATTTGTTTTGCCTACTTTCAAGGAATACACAACCATCCCCCGCCACCCCCGCCTGTATCCTCTTTCGCGAAAGATACTCTTATTGTTGAAGAACCTCGCAAGTCGAGAGGAGCCCCTGCAGCCCACATCAAATTGGAGGTTCAGAAGAAACTATTGCATAGCTTTGGAGCTAGAGGTTCCGGGGTTTCTGTAAGTGACCACAGAATTTACGATATCTGCACGGCAATGCAATCTGGCGCAAAAGAAAGAGAAAGCATTGGAACTTTGTTTGAAATGGCAGCGGATGAGAGAAACGAATATGTGAGAGAAGCCAGAACTGTGGAAAAAGGAGGAGCGGTGGTTCTTTTAGCAACTAATTCAATGATCGCAAAAGGAGCGACGTCATCTAGCTTTGCCGGAGATGCGACCTTCAAGACATTGGAAAATGACGTTTCTATGGTGAAGGTTGTCATGTCGACAAAAGAAAGTTTCAAGCCATTTCGATTGTCGGCTAAAGTTTCGTGGTATTTATACAATGTTGTAGCACAAGCTCATCCCGGCCTATCAGGAACGAAGGGAATTGTCGTCGCCAGATTCATGATGAACCGACTTACGCGTGATTCGTACTGTATGGGATGGAAACTGTTCCTGGATCACATGCAGACATACTGGAGAAGAGCTGTGAGTGCGCCGCAAAGTTTATGCTTAATACGCGTACCATACGTGTTCAATGTAGACCAATGCGGGATCCGGTGCATCGAAATCAGGTCAATAACTACTGACTTCGATGCCGCCGAAATAGAAGGAATTGCCCTGGCCCTTCAATCGACAATCGGAGGTTCAGCACGTATGCATGTGGAAAACATCATGATTGGTTGTACTGTTCATTTTGACAGGGATGCAAGGCAACGAGCGGCCCGACTACTGGTGAATATCAGAGATGTGTTCTATAGAACGATGATGAAAATGCGCAACTGCAGAAGCGTTATGGAGGCAAACGAGGCTCTGGACTACGTCAGATCGCTGGACAGGTCTTGGGCAGATTGGGTACTAAAATACCCCTTCAAGACGTTGGCAATTACAGCGTTTTCAAATATGGCTGATCAAAATTTCCGCACTGGATTTCAGGACACAAACATCGTTGAGAGCCAAAATAGGAGAGGACATCACATCTGTGGCGTGCAGATTAATCCAGCCATTGCCGCCAAACGACTCGAAGATCTCGACAACATTTCAGTCGAGGAATCGCTTGGATTGGATAGCGGGGTTGGCGCGTACAACATCCTTCGCAAGCGACAGCGGTTTGACTCTTTGGTTGCCCCATCTGGATCGAAATCTCCGCAGAAAAAACAGAAGAGATCCAAGTTTCTTGGTAATATCCCAGGCAGTTCCGAAAGAAAAATTAAAGCCTCCGTATCTCGTTCAGACACGAAGCATAAAAGTCGGAACACAATGAAGGGAGACTTGTTGGAAATGAAAATGATTCAGAAGAATGTAGCTGAGGCAATGAACGAAATTGTCGAAGAAGCTTCAGCTGTACAGATGGAAAAGCTTACCGATCTGACAATGAAAGTTGAAAATGCGTTATCAGCATTTGATGCCCGAATTGAGATTCTGAGTTGCCTGAAGGAAGTAACACAGGATCTTCTCCTGCGCAAAGTTATCTCGACGTTGTTCTTGAAAATTAAAACGAGTGGCGACGATATCAAGAATGCTCAAGGCTTGGAAAAGAATGATTCTGCCGTAAACTGTATTGATGTTGATGCTTCTGATAGAGATCTCTGAGTAGGCACGAAAGTAAAATGGTATCGAGACTTATGTGTTGAAGCTATCTGTGCTATCCTATTGAGTCCCATATTTCTTCTGAAGATCACCCAGCGACCTACGGACTTTGAAAAAGCGTATAGTCCTGTTAAAAGACTGACTAAAGTACCACTTCGAGTATGGAACGCCCTGTTTCATGGGTCCTATACTCATGAATTGAGTAAGCCACCTGTTTTAAGGGTCGATGTTTGCATTTGTCCTTTGCTGAGGTGGTTAATGTTAAGTGAGCAGCAGGCAAATGTTAACTTGTTTACGGAATATGTAGTGTCAACCTCATTTTGAATATTGAATACCTTTTCTTGGGGGTTCGAAACTCATTATGAGTTTCGAACCCCTTTTTTGGTATTCGAAACTCATAATGAGTTTCGAATACCTTTTTGTGGGGGTTCGAAACTCATAATGAGTTTTGGGTCTCTTTTCGGCCTTCCAAATCTCATAATGAGTTTTGGGTCCTTTTTGGAGTTTCAATACACATGAAGAGAGCACAGTATGTATGTCGCCACGATCAAGCGTCTTTGCCATAGAAAAACACTCACTATCTTGAAGTCGCATTAAGTATATTAAAGTTTGCAGGATGTTGCCTTCTCATTTGCGCTTTGTTACTAAGTAATTTAATCTCATTAGCGCAGCGTAATCCGTGACAGCTTCACCAATGGTAGAGAACTGGACTTTACAGATCGAACTCATGAGAATTGTTAAAACTTCATCTATTTGTATGATTTACCAAGATTGTATCGATTTTTCACTACCGAAAACAGTCCAGTTTATATCATCCAGAAGATCAAGTGCGGTACATAGGTAATATAGAGTGTCCATGCGCATGCAGCAGTGGAAATGGTATTCTCATATTGATTTGCCCAGTAGCGGGAACATGTTTACTAGAAAATTAGACGGGTGGTCAATGTTTACCCAGTGGCAAGTAAATGTTTACTTGTTGATCGGGGGTCAATTTTTACCCCGTGGAAAGTAAATGTTTACTTGTTGGCAAGTAAATGTTTACTTGTTGACGGATATTTGGACTGGACAGGCGGAGTGCTGTGATAGGTTGCAATACTTTGAGTTTTTCAAGAAATTCAATGGCTTCTTTTGCCCCTACTGTAATTGAGTTTATTGAGAATTGTATTTAAATCACGGTGCATATCGCGTATGATAAAAAACTTTATTTACAACCAGGGAGAACCCGGAGCTGTTTTCGGTTTTCTTTCCCGCGTCTTCGCACTGATACAGTACACACGTATTGAACACGTATTTGTGCATGCGTGCTTATTATGTAGTAATGAAGATTTATTTTCGATTTACTGGTTGTATGATACATTACATGATCATAACGAATTGAGGCTTGTCTTTTTCTCGGATGATTGGGTCTATTGCATGTCCCCCCGTATTTCCGTAAAAGGGTACTGTGCTTAACAAAAAGGTGGATGCGCAAATCAGCCATTGGAGGAGAGCCGCATCTCCACTTGTCGTGGACGGGTTGGACGAGACGTGCTGAACGGCAGATCCCGGTAAGGGGGTGAATCGCAGAGGCCGATGAATTGGGTGCACTCGCGACACAAAAAGTAGTTCCATGGCACGAGGAAACACGTGGGTGCGGGCCGTCTCCGTACAACGCAATTCCATTGGTCCGTTGCATGGCCTTGAATACCAATGGCGGAATGTCGGAAAGAAGATGTGAAAAGTTATCCTCAGCCACTCATCCGCATTGCGACGCTGTGGCGTCGTCACAGCCACACGAAGACACACTCGAGCCGTATCGCGCCGTATCTGGTCATACTAGTCGGTTCGCTTGCCTGATCGCCCAGCGTCAGTACGTACTGTATGTGGATCTACGCTTCGAATAAGAATATTAATTGCTTCCGCCATCTCGCTGCACTATGCACACCCAGTAAACGCCCATCGCGCCATACAAATATATTTCCAGACACTGCGTCTACCCCTGAGTCAGAGACATCGGAGACAGGACAGCCCGAAAGCCTTCTTCCAAGGTCATTCCTTAAAGATCCTACATTCCTTTCTCAACCGCTCCCACACTCCCTCCCCTACCTTGCCCACTTCTGGAACAACCCCCTCTCTCCAACGTCATCGATCTCTCCCAACACGTGCACGCTACGCCACTCCGCCGTTTCCCCTCCACTACCAACCAGTACTCCGTCCCCGGCGACCTCTCCCGTTCTTGACTGGCAAAAATCTGCACCATGGCACCTCCCGCCACCTCTTCCGCCGCCTACACCCGCGACCCACATCCCGTAGTCGCAGCTAGACCTGCAGCCCAACCCGAAAAGGCGGCCTCTGCCATCCCCAAAATTGCAAACCCAGCCAAGCGCAACGCCCTCACCACTCCAGTCTCAGTCCTCGCAGGTGCTATTGAGTCTCGCCCACCTCCGACCATTGTGGAAGATGGCAAGCCGCAGAAGCAAACGCCTTCCCAGAAGGCTTATGCTAAGCTTGAGGAAGCTCGCTTGGCCCTGTCGCCGACTGCCTTGCGTACCGCTTTGGATAAGGAAGCTGTTGCCGTCGTCGATCCTTCAAAGCCATCCTCGGAGGATGAAAACAGCCCGTACCAACTGAAGGCCATTGAGGAGGCTCTACCGACAGAGGAAACTCCAGACAAAGGAAAGGCCCACAAACGCTTCAAGATTGCCATGTTTGCATGGGAAAGCCTTCATAGCATCGCTGTCGGGGGTATTGCCCCGCATCTCACCGAGCTCGCTGCTAGTCTTGAGCGTCGCGGTCATGAGGTCCATGTTTACGTCCGAACAGGAGCTGGTCAGGCCTCATACGAACAAATCGATGGCGTTCACATTCATCGCATTGCTTTTGAGCTCTCATCTGACTTTGTTCAGGAAGTCACGAATATGTGCAACGCTATGGTTCATTTCATGATCGAGACGGAACATTTTATGGATGCTAAGTTTGATATCTGCCACGCCCACGACTGGCTCGCGGCCCCGGCTCTGATTAACATTAAGCACAACCACGATCGCAAATGTGTCTTTACCGTACATTCCACTGAATTTGGTCGATGCGGCAATAATGTCTACGGGGGACAGAGTGCTCGCATTCGTGGCTTGGAAAACGATGCCATCGCTCTGGCAGACAAAGTGATTGGTGTTTCCGGCGTGCTTTGCGACGAGATCAAAGGGCATTACCAATTTGACTGGGACAAGCTCAGATGTGTTTACAACGGCATAAACTGTCTCCGCTATGATGGAAATCTTTGGGATCCATCAGAGGTACGTGGTTTGTATGGTGTGGGCCCTATGGATCCTATGGTCCTGTTCGTCGGACGCATGGCTACACAAAAGGGTCCTGATATTCTTGTTGAAGCCATCCCGAGTGTATTGGCATCTCGGCCGGACGCCAAGTTTGTCTTAGTTGGGGATGGGTATATGAAAGAGGCGCTTGTCGCCCGTATTCATGAGATGGGCGTAGCTAGCAGTGTGTGTTTTACTGGTCAAATGAGCGGGCAACCGCTTGTTGATTTGTTCAAGGCGACAGATCTCGTGGCGATTCCGAGTCGCAATGAACCTTTCGGGATCGTGACACTTGAAGCCTGGGCTTCCAACAAGCCCGTTGTGGTGACGAAGAGCGGTGGGCCACGTGAGTTTGTATGGCATGATAACGACGGTTATCTGGTTGATACATCTTCAGATGGTATGGCCTGGGGCATCTGCACTGCTTTCAGCAACTTTGAGCATGCCAGGTATATGGGGGATAGGGGACGCGTCAAGGCTGCATTCCAGTTCTCCTGGGATAACATTGCAGAGAACACAAACAATATTTACGATGAGCTGTTGCCTGACCACCCCGGACATCCTGCTCCGGATGAAGCAGCGCGGAAGATCGAGATGGAGCAAATGAAGAAGTGAAGGGGGTTAGCAACCGGGGAATATCAGCAATATTGCGAGCCTTCTGTTTGTGTATGTGTAAGGGGTGAGACGATCAGGGCGACAAATATTAGTGTCGTGCCTGTACTGGGTTTTATGCAGTTGTCGTGGTAGCTGAAGTGTTGTTCAGAAAGATTAGCGGTAGGCAGAGATGTTGCACGGATATACATGCGGTGGTGGGAAGAGGACATGGGAACATTGCTCACATCAGCGGGATGTGATGTCATCTGTTGAGAGGTAGTAGACTTTGTTGCTCTCATTTCAGCATGCAGTGTAATACGGTTCGAGGTGTAGCGCCTCAGCTACCTCGGAGTAGGTCTCGCGAGTCTGTGACATGTTGTCGACATTCCAATATGGTCTATATGCTTGAAGATTTAGAGGTTTTTGTCCAGCGATTCTCATAAACTAAGGATGCACACATCCCCGCTCGTGTAATACAGAAATTAATTGGATTGGTACCTGGGTGCAAGACTTTTTGTGTGTGCAGCCCACCGGCTTGCTTTTTACACGCATGTTAGACATCGACAAAAAACAAGGATTTCAGCAATACAGGGGGGGGGGGGGGGGGGGGTCGCGATATAGTGCCATATTTGTTAGTGCCAGCTCCGATATAGTGCTACCCTTCTGCGGGTGGCACGAATTATGAGCCAAAAACGAAGGGTCTCCAGGGAGGCAGTTGGATGGACATGTGTGTACTGCCCGAGAGCCGCTGCCGCCGCGGAAAGATATCATGCAGTTGCCAACTCGAAAAGACTATGGCGGAAAAAGGCAGGGTCGATGATGCAATTGGACATCTGCAAAAGTGTAGGCTGGCATTTATGGCGGCGAAAAAGGAGGAAGTCAATGCAACGGCTCGGCAGCTACTACATGTAATAACAGAAATGCTTGATTAGACTTGAGTCTGTAGTGAAGATACAAAGCATGAGTGATGGCGTCCTGCGAGCGGTCTTTCTGAGCAGTGATGCAAGGAAGTGGCTGCAAAAAAGCCGTAAATCTCATTATCTAACAGTGCCTGGTTCGATATAGTGCTGTTTTCGGCCCACTGACACAGGGTAGCACTATATCGCGACCCCCCCCTGTACACGTTCTTTTGAAGAAAGACTGGAACGCGAGAAGAGTGAGGATGAGCTTGTGAATCAACTTTGGGTTTTGTGCGGTGGGGGGTGCCCGAGTCATGAAGGATTGGGCCTGGGTGTTTTTTTCCGTTTTTTTCAAAAAACCGTTTCGCGTTCCTGTGCTGTAATTATTACTCCATTTATGCATCTGAGGATTCGGTGAACGGGCAGGGACTCGAGATCTGGAAAGCCCTGGAATCTCTTTGGTGTATGGGGACCATCACGACTGGGATGATTGATCGGGTCGTACAGAGCCGCTCGGCGCAGTACAATATGAGCGCTTGGCAATGTCTCAAATAAATACCGTAGTCTGAATAGCTGCCCGAGCTCGCCGACATCTTTTCGGGACACTCTGTCGAGTGAAAAAATCTCCCGCCATTCCGACAGCGATGCTACGGTACCCCCATGCCCTTCATGCGTCGGCAATAAACTCTCTCCCCACTGCCAACTTCTTTGCTGTTTGATGACAGCCGCTGCGCATTATTCCCACGGATTGTCGCGTCTACTGATCGTTAGCGACTAATACTCCTTGCATTCTACCCGCGCCCTCATATTCGCATGTCAGCTAGCACATCTGCAAAGGCTAGCGCTCGTCTACACCTTTCACAAGTAACTACTGCGCCCGATACGAAATCTCGCGCGCTCGCCAAGCGCTCGTTCCATTCCCACATCTGCTCATCTCCAAGACTCGGGGTCGCGCCTCCCCAAAACCGTCTTCACTGTTGCGGCCGTACGGGGAGGCCGCATTTGCGTTTCGCGTCCGAGACATGGTAGACCAAAAAACAGAACCTGTCACGGCTTCGGTCCAAGATGGGCAACCCACCAGCTCTCCTTCTGCCACCTCAGAAGGTGATGATGGCAATCATGACCTTCCGCCTTCCAACGTCAGACGACACAGCGTACGCCAGGACATAATGGATGCAGTTGTTAATCGTCAAGCTGAACGCATTTCCCAGCTCGAACGCCTGCTAGAGAAAAAGCGTGCTAAGGTCGAGCAATTATCAGCAGAGCCACCATTTCTCCATCCTCCCGGTCTCTGCGTCGTGCCGCCGAGTCATTCAGGTCCTTCTACAGCTACAACCGCACAAAATGCCTCGCGAGGGTCCCCTCCCAGCGGTAACGCCGTCCTCAACCAAAATGCTAACGGCCATCCGCAACGACATCCCGTGAATCATCCCGCAATGGCAGCCGCTATGGCCGCGGCTGCAATTAGAGGCAAGCCCCATGCATCTGGTGCATTGCCAACTCACTATCCGTTCATATTTGGTCCTCCAGACCACATCGCTGCTGCATCACTAATGAATGTCATGTCCCATGGAACAGCTTCTGTTCCTACACAACCACCCCAACCCCACAACTCCCTCCAAACGTCTCCACCAATTCAAAGAGGCGAGGGTGAGCGGAAACAAAGCCGCTATTGGACTGCAGATGAGCACCAAAGGTTCCTTGCCGCTGTGAGTACATGTGGTCCCAAGAATTACATTCAAATTTCTGAGTTTGTTGGTACTAGGAATCCAAAACAGGTCCGAACGCATGCTCAAAAGTATCAGCAGAAGTTGGAGCGGGAGGAAGCCAAGCGACGAAGTGAGACCCGGCTTGCGACGGGCGAGCGAGGTGGAAGCACTGTTGGAGTAGCAGCAGCTGCAGTTGTTGCAGCGGCGGCGGCTGCAGCGATGAATGGAAATGTCCCTGGGGCAGTCGCAGCTGGAGTGCAGCAGGATTCCATGCGTGGGTACGGAGGTCCTACCAGTTCGTCCAGCGGCAAAAATTTCTCACACTCGGATAACCAAGATCAGCTGCGGGGAGGTATCAGTGTGGATGGAACTTCGAGCACGAACGATTTATCTGGATCTGGTTCGGGGTCAGGAGACTGCTTCAGCAAAAGAAATACTGCGAACGAATCAGAGAGCCCACCTGATAATGGCACAAGCAATGCGGCGGTTGCGGCAGTGGCAGCAGAAGCTGCCGCACTTAGAGGGGGCATTCTTGACGGTGGACCGTTCCATGCAGAAAGTGCTAACGCAGATCCGACGACGACGACTCCTTCCAAGGTTCTTTCAACATCCACGAAAGCAGTCCACATTCCATCACATAAGAAGGTGAATGAGGATGACAGTGGCCCTCATGAAGCGGAGATGGAAGTTCCTGACAAGGATTTTTCCAAAGCTGCAGGCACTGTGAAGATGGGAGCGACCGTATCCCCCAAAAGCAATCCCAAGCCTTCGACCAGAAACACGGGTGGTGAACAGACAATGACCAAGCAGTCAGCTACGAAGCAGAAATCAGGCATCCACGGGCAACCCGCAAATACTCTGCCAAGGCCTCATACCAAAATTAGCGGTGAACCAGGATCTGTCACCAGTATTCCGCTTCGTCGAGTTGACGGATCCAAAGGTAAGGATGAAGGTCCTCTGAAACGAAGTGAAACCATAGTAACCGGGGACACTGTTGACGATGAAAGACCGTCGACAGGCTTACTAGAAGAGCATTCAGGTCATAGTAACGACAAGAAAAGTCAAGAAGAGGCCAACAAGAAAGCAATTGTCTCGGCCAAGATCAACTGCAAATTAGTTGCACCAGCGTCTGTCAGAACCAAAGAGACAGAAAGTGAGGGCTCCGATGAACAGAATAATTCAAAAAGCACCAACACAGGAAAACTGGATATGTCCACCAAAGCAACAACTGGATCAGTACAAGAACCAGACGGAAAACCCGGTGCGGGTCCTGATAGAACCGAGTCCTCAAAAATGGCGCCTTTTGCCCAGGTAGCAAATCCCGTAGATGAAAGTCGTGGATCAGTGAAGTTTGAGCAGATTTCAATCTCTGATGTCACTGCACATGCCTTATCAAAAACTAGAGCTGCTGAAGACCATCTCAGGTCCCAGAAAGATCCGAAGAATGCCTCGAGGCGTGCCGACAGAGAAAGTTCTCAAGTTGTGACCAGAAGCCCGGACACGGCACAGAATGTCATGAAATCTGATATTCAGCTTGCCAATGATTTGCAGCGGGACGACGGTGACGCTGGGAAAGGGACAGTATCGTCTAAGACACGTGCAGGTGTTGATGGTTGCGAAGGAGTTATTTCAGTTAACACGGAAAAGCACAGATCTTCTGTTTCAGACAAAAAAGGGGATGCGCAGACGAGGAGGGGTGGCACGTCAGAAGCCGCGACAAGAGCAAACAGCGATGAAGTTGCTGAGCCAAGGTGTAGTGAAGATCATGGAGATTCCGACATGATACCAAAGACAGAGAAAAACAGAATGCAAACTGATTGTGAAAGTAACACGGCGGAAGTCGGGAAGGGCATAGAAATGGATGGGGCACCGGGCGTAGATGTTCATGTATTGAAACGCAAGTTGGCGGCAAAACCTAGTTTTGGGACTAGGAAAAAGCGAAGCGCAGAAGACATGAAGGAGGTAGACAGGGAAGAGTTGGAAGGAGAAGAGTCTGGAGTTTTGAAACGAGCTCGCATGGAGACGGAAGCTGGAAAGATAGGGAATGATTGAACTAATGATGCGAGGAGCAATAGGGGGGGGGGGGGGGGTTACACTGGACGGAGTGCGAGAAAAAGTTTAAGACATAGAATGTGGAGGGTGGGCTTGATGGGGACGGTGCAAAAAAGGCTTGCTTTGGCCATATGACGGTGGACACAAATGGTGACTGAGCGCCGATAAGCAGCGTTTTGCGCTGTGAGACAGATGGCATTGCTTTGAGCCGAAAATTATTACCAGTTTTTCACACATAAAACTTTAGCCAATTAAAACGCGATATGCGTGTGCATGCAAAATCGTCTGCAAATTAATGCAAAGCCATTGGGCACACGTGGAACCTTCGGATTGTGTGCCCCAACTGGCCCTTCGTATGGAGGACCCAGGGAGGGAAGTCGTTTTGCATGTCGTTTGCATACACTCACCGGCAACCGCTGCCAGTTGCCAATTGTGATGAAGGAAGGCGATTGCTCCCGCCGTCGCCGTTTACTGGGGGGATGGTCGCTTAAGTACTGATAGAGTCTGCTGTCGGAAGTGTATCATACGTCACTAATCGCACAACAACCACTGTGACTCAAGATTGATCGCGCGACGGACGCCTGGTAACTAACGTACTGCACTATATCTTTCTTCAAACAGTGCATAAAATTTTCTGTCCGGTACATTATCACAGTGGAGTATTGCAAAGCGTACGACTTCCCTGGCTCTTCTAGCTCAGATGGTGAGCAACCCTTGAATAGCAAGCTGATATAAAACTGCGAGGCCATCATCTTATGTGTTACCACAACTGCTTTCGAAGTAGCCCAAATCGAATAGGTACAGTGGGCGACTCCGAAAAACACAGACGCACATAAATTTTGTACACACAAATTCCCTAAGTATGTGTGTCGTATTTTGTGATCTGGCACGGAAATGCAAATGACATAAAACATGTATGATGCATTCGCAATGCAATGACATAAAATATGTATGATGCATTCGCAATGCGTATGCACCCTCAGCAGTACGGAAGAGCCCAGCGCACAGATCGCCATTCCACCTTCGCACCCCCATCCCATTCACCCCTCAGATGATATCTGCTGCTTCTTTTATTGCTCCAACGGGCGAAGCGGCAACGAAACATCGTGTTCCGTCACCGTCTTACTGCAGAAGGGAGAAGAAGACGAGGCCGGCGGATAAACAGGATGGGGATGGGAGAGCTCGCACGGATGACAGTTGATGGGAGAGGTACACGTGTAGGTGCATTTGTGCGTTTGTGTCTGTGCACAAACAATTACAGAGTAAAGTCTCGATAAGCTGCGTACCTGATATGATGAACTGTCTCGGTACAGTGAACCGAAGGACTATGAGGGAGGCGCCACCCCGCTTTTTTGGCCCAGAATCGACGTTTTCGTATTTCTAACGTGAACTAGAGACTCTATAGAATGAACTACGCGATACCATGAACATACAAAAACATGAAAACCCCAGAGTTCACTTTATCGAGGCCGAAATGCGCACTAGAAACGAACCATCAACGACTACAGAAGCCATCCATACGATTTTGCCTCAGATTCGAACCCTGAAGCCTCCTTACGCGGCTTTGTTCCTCATACAGAAGTGACTTGATGCTCGAAGGCAGCCCCGATTGAACTAGATTCGCGTCCGTCATAATACAACTGAGTTCGTTAGATAGAGCTTCTAATGTTCCGCGATACCGAGCAAGCGACGGTTTGCGTCCTGTCCGGTCTTTCGCTGGCACAGTAGAGCGATCGTCCTCACTATCTGAATCACCGTTAAATTGATCTTGCTCAATGCCAGTAAATGCCGCAAAATCCCCTAATCCAAGATCAATGGCTTGACCGAGAGCTGACTCTTCTGATATAGACTCTGGATGTGGCAGAATTAAAAGAAAAGGAAGGCTGGATCACAATGTGAAGTGGTCCAGATATGGAATTGCGCCCGTCGACGTTGCCCGTCGATGGACAGAGTCAAGGAAAGTGAGTTTGTGTTCCTGTGACCGTATCATCGCCATTGGTGAAGACGCTCTAAGAGCGTCTCCACCGGTGTGGTCCAAATCATACTGTACCCGTAAAACGTGTACACGTGTACACGAGCAGTTCCGCCGCCGTGAACTGCCTCGGTAAGGCGAACTCAATGGGCTGCTCGGAAGCGCCACATTTCGGTTCACGATATCGAGACTTTACTCTGTACATCGGGAGCCGAATGACGAGCAAATCGGCGGTCTGTGTATACACAAACACCCTCTAGTCAATCAAAATTGGTGGATTTGCGCACCACAAATTGTGCGTTTGTGTTTTTCGGAGTCGCCCAGTAGTGGGCGACTCCGAAAAACATAAAAACACATTTTGTGTATGCGCAAATCTGCCGATTTTGATTGAGTCGGAGGTGTTTGTGCATACACAAACCGCCGATTTGCTCTTCGTTCCCCTCCCGATGTAATTGTTTGTGCACAGACACAAACGCACATCCGCACCCACCTATACCACCCTATATCATACCATGTGCTCAAATATTTCTCTGCGATCTGTCCGATCAACCCATCCCACCCCTCGGCAACCTCGTTCCTATTTCGATCTGGCCTCCCTCCACACTTTCCCTCCGTCGTATCAGCCGCTGTCCAACCCCGCAGCCCAACGTCTACATGGCTCATGTTGCCGACTCCGACGAGGAGCCGGCACCCGATATTTGTCCCCAAGCCGGCGGCTCCTTCGTCAGTATCATAGGATAGGGCGTGAAGGGGGTACCGCAATCCGTCCGCCGGCGTGCTGACACCTCACTGAGGGTGAATTGGCATTAAATGTGTCTTACACAAATTTTTGTTCACATGCATTTCCGTGCCAAGGCACAAAATACGACACACATACACAAGGAAATTTGTGTGTACACAATTTATGTTTTTCGGAGTCGCCCAGTATCGCATGTCGCGCTCAGAGAATGCTCCCGTGATGCAATGGAGTTGCATCAGCTGAGGTGTCCAGATCGCACGATTAGGACCCGGGCACATGAGATGAAACGGCTCGAGGGGACACAAGTTCAGTCATATTCGGGAATCATATTCTAGAGAATGACGTTTAAGAAGAACGGAGGGCCTGTCACATGTGGGTTCTTAACCCAGTTTATATTTCATCATTACCGCACGCAATTCATCAGTACATGCTGTTTTAGTTTTAGTTAGGGATGTGTTTGTGATTGAGAAGTAAGATGATGCCCCAAAAGAAGTGTATGCGTTCTACAGAGCAAACGATCTTCTGTCCGAAACTTTGAAACAGCTTGCCGGAGCGTCAAGAGAGCAGCGTCGACTTGCTTCACAAGAATAGCAACGAAAGCCCCCTTAGTTGACGAGATATCTGCACCCATGATGTCTACATCAATTGAAAGACATCAATCGACTCGTCCTTTTCTCGGCAACGAAAGTCTTGTCTCCCGTCATCCTTCATGGAGTCGCTTACAGAAACGATCGTGTTCTCATTCGCAAAAGCGATACCTTCCACATTGCAGTACTTGATCTCGCAATTGTCGTTTCGCGGAAAGTCCACAATCCGCTCTCCTGTAACTTTTACGCCGTTATCTAAGTCGAGTTTCCCGATAAAGATGGCTGAATTTTGCTGAGAAGCGATAGCCACCGTCGTCTCGTCCCAGATAGCTATCGCTGAGTAGTCCTCAAAAGCCACCTCTGGAGGCAGGTTTACGACGTCAACCGTCTCATATATACATGAACCATCTTGCATGACGCGCTTCATCACGACTAGACGACCATTTCCTGCCTTTCTGCCTTTTTTGCCGCCGACACAATAGTTTCCTTCGCAAAGTCCGACAAGAAGTGACGTTCCTTGTTTTGTTGTCACAATGATAGCTCCTTCGAAGCCCTTGTTACTGTGAGAGAAGGCAAAATCTGCAACGCATCGAGTTCCAACTACAGCAGTCGTCTCGTTGAATGTCACATCATATGTCACGGCTCTCTCTGAACCATCGTCGTGCGATATGCTTTCTTGTACAACCAGGTATACTTGAGCACTCTCATTGTAAGCGATGCATTCAAACCCACTCTTACCGCTTGTGTCTCCCGACCACTTCAATAAGGATGAGGGAGCCTGTGGACGCACGGGGCTGCTTGCAATCGTATTTGAAGCTCTATGGCTTTGTGGACGGCGCAATCGTGCAATCGAAAAGACGTTGTCAAACACGACGAACGCTTCAGAACTACCCTGCACCATGACGACGTCAGATGCTTCGAATTCGGAGAAGCCATGCTGAAGAAACAGGCCATTGAATGGGAACTCCATAACGGTTTTCAACGTTTCATTCTTAAAATGCTTGCTGCTGCAATCTTTGTTGTGTCCGTTAGGATTAGTGCTCTTCTCACGGATCATCATTCTTGACTCACGCATGTTATTCGGTTCCCAGAAGAAAATGTAGGCAAACAGGGAAACAAGAATCGCTACTGTGAGAAGAAAAGGAATCCGCCAAGTTTTTGGCGAATACCATTGGGTTGATCGTCGTTGAGCATTTTGAACGAAGCTCTTTGGGAGCAGCAAACTATCCTCCCTCGAGTCCATAACTGGGAAATGATACTATATGAACGGTCTGGTCAGTATTTCGCCCAGTGCGGCAGATATCTTTGCAAGATATCTTCTTCTTGGATGTGAGACTCGCCTGGAACTGCGGGCTGCTGATGAAAGCGTTGACAAGGCTTCGAAATCTCTGTTTCAGTTCCTCCGCCAGGGAGGGGTCATGATGGGGTAGACGTCTCCGCATCGAACCTTAAAGCTTAAGATGATAAGATGAGTCATAAGTGCTCACGAGAAAGGAAAAATGAGTTTTTATTACTTGCACGTCTCTCAGAATAGATCTCGGATAGGCTTAAATTGTGCTTTGTATGATATGGGCGATGATGTTTTGACGGTACACATTTTGACAAGTGACAAGCTGAAACTGCGTGTGCTGAAACTTGAAAACGCATTCACGTTTTCCAGTTACAGCACACGCAGTTTTAGCACACGCAGTTTCAGCACTCTTGAGTCAAGTGCGGCAGTAGTCAGGCTTCAATGATTCTGTCGGTTTGCTTTCTGGATGTTAGCTTCCTGGATGTTTGCCTCACTGGATGCGAAGTCGGTTTCTTCCCAGGTGTCGCGTCCGATGACTCTGAATGCAATCTGAGCTTTTAGGCCACGGACATAGATTATAGATGCAAAGGTTGCATTCACATCAAGGAAATTGGAAAGCTGCTCTACGCCAGCTCAGTACTGTAGATAGTTTTAAGAGTTGAGTTAAGATTTACCGCATTTCTCTGTTTGCATCGTGAGCATCGCACTGGTGCTCGCGGGCGGGATCCTTTTTGGGAGGCGTTTTGCAATTAGCGCGAAGATACAGCTCGCTCTATTCGCGGACCTATCCGTAGCTGACAGGACGTCGTGTACAGAGGGAACACGTGTATAAGAATTAACCAATGCCGCAATAAGAGCACCCCTATCGGTTTGGCTAAATTTGGTGGCTAAATGTGTAAAATTTTGCGTTTGCATATAGCATTTCTGTGCGCAACACTATCGGTTTAGGAGTAAACAAGTGGGCTCCGTGCGCGCTTCGCGCGCCGAGCCAAGGAGGCGTGGAGGAACACTATTTGGGAAGGGTGGCAATGAAAATATGTACAGACAATGGCGTTTACTTTTTTTGGTAACTACTGAAGGACCTCGGGGTACACTACGTTTCGCGTGGTTTCATTGGACTCTCGAGTGAGGACAGTGACGTTGCCTGGGTGAGTAGTCCTTGATAGTGCGACATAGAGTTGACCGTGCGAGAAGCAGTGATCTCGTAAGTCGAGACCAATGCGGCCACCGAAGGATTGGCCTTGCGCTTTGTTCGTTGTAGGGGCGAAGCACGTGCGAATGGGGAACTGCGTTCGGGTGAAGCCAGGGATGGGAAAGTTGTCGTCTCCTGGTCCGCAGGGCATTCGAGGAAGACAAAATCTGTTGCCTTGGTGTGACCCGGTGGTAACGTGTAGAAAGAGCAGGTTGTTGGTCATGTTCTCGATGACATATCGCGCGCCGTTGACGTGACCGGTAGCGGGATCAAGATTGCGCAGAAGCATGACGATGAAGCCTTTCTTGAGCTTGAGCTTGTGGTCTGGTAGAGCAGATCCGGCGGTCAAGGTGTTGAGCATTTCTGTGGGATAGATCAGCGCGTTGGTGTCTTCGTTCTCGACCTTTTCTGCGCTCAAATACGTTCGATACGATCCCGGAATCATGTTGCCGATGACCTCGTTGACTTCCTGGAGCGGCCTGTTCTTTGTGGTGAGAATAACGCGCTTGGTGAGCCAGGCAGGGTCGGCGTGATTGTCTCGAATGCCTTGGAAGACCTTGAGGCATAAATTGCGGATGGTGTGCTCGAACTCAACGGACTGTGGTAGTGAGATCCATTCCGGGCGCTGTTCGCCTTGAAGTCTGCCTTCCCCGACGCTGAGGAGGAATTCTGGAAAGTTGAGAGCCTCCACATCTGCTGCAGGGTCCGCTCGGAGAGCAGCAAGGCGCATGTTCTCGGTAAGGCGCAGGAATCGGCACTCTCGATACAGCGGGGAAGCCTTGACGCACGCACTCACGATTTGACCTCTGGACCCGCCCGGAACGACGGGAAGGATTTGTCTAAAGTCTCCAGCGAGCACGAGGAACTTTCCTCCGAAGGGCCGGTCGGTTTGCATCAAGTCTCGAAGGGAGCGATCGACAGTCTCAATGCAATGTCGATGGCACATGACGATCTCGTCCCATATGATGAGATCGACTTGTTGCAGTGTACGGCCTGTGTCGGAGTTTGTGGAGAAGCTGCACGTGCTTTCGGCAGATACAGGAATGGGAATCTTGAACACGGAATGAGCGGTGCGTCCACCGTCGAGCAGCGCAGCAGCAACAGCAGACGTAGCGACAGCGATGACCTGCTTACGGCGCGTACGAAGGAAGTCTTGAATGGCGCTGAGCACGAATGTTTTGCCTGTTCCGCCAGGAGCATCGAGGAAGAAGAGACGACCACTTCGTGTCGGCATAGAAGGTCCCGCAACGGCGCTTAAGGATCCTTGAAGCAATGCAGAGACGGATACGCCTGGAAGCAAGGAGGGCACTATTTCGTCAAAGGCATGACGTTGATTTGTGTTCAACAGCGGCAACGACGTCTGTAGTCGCCCTTCCCACTGCTGCGCTCGTGCTTCGGGGGTCTCGATCTCGTTTTGCTGTTCCAAAGCGGGCAGGCTGTCATCGAGCAGTGGGAGTCCGAAGTTTGCGAGCGTCCAGTCGGATCGCACGGTCTGCAGAGCCTCCTGTACCTCTCGAAGTACTTAAGATGTGGCGTGGTGATCATCGCGAAGCTGCTGTCTTCGAATGGGTTGTCTGCGAGCACGATTGCGAATATCGGTGAGAAACATGTCCAGGTGGTCGTTCCACAGCGAGAGAGGGTCCGAAGGCTGGCAGTGTGCCAGAATCGTAGCAAACAGATGAGAAAGAGGAACGAAGCTTGACCGGAATGAATCTCGGATTGCGTGCTTCCACTTGGCATCGTCGGCCAGCAAACCGAGTCGTAAGCAAGCTTGTCGGAAGCTGGTGCACTGCTCGCCGTCGATATTTCGCAAGTTCTCGAAGGATGTTGCCCCTGGCACTTGTGTGAGGAGGAGGCGAAGAAAGTAGCGCTCACCCTCCCTCGGACTGACAGTGTAGATTCGACCGACTACGTTGGCACCTGTACCACTGAAATCGTAGGCTTCCTCTTCGCTGGTGGCGTTTCGTCTTCGCAGGGTTGCTCTTGGACTCCATGACTTGGTGCGTGTCTTCCACGTAAAGTACCTTGGAAACTTGTGGTACCGAATATGCCGCGCGCTTGGGTACTTCTCGTTGGCTTTAAACCACTCGGTCAGCTTCGTGCCTGTTGCTGGTCGAAGCGCCGCCTCCTGCTCTCGCCCTTCCTCAAAGTAAACCGTGTGGTGGTTGGGCAGATGCACTGCAAGCCTGACTACTGGAGGATTGCGGTCTACAATGTCAAAGGAGAATAACCTCCATGCGGCCTCCGATGCCGAAACGTATCTGGCATCTTGGAAGTTGGAGATCTCGTCGTAGCGCTCGTTCTCGGCAGTGATTTCCATGGTCACTCGGTCTTGTCCCTTTCACACATACTTGAAGAGGTACTTGATTCCGCCAACGCGTGACACGCAGAGTTCAACATTCAAATGGCAAGCGAATGAACGTAGAAGCACAGGACTGTGAGGAACGACCCAGGAGTTGTCTACCACGACGGGTTGCTGTCGTCGGCCAATACGGGAGGGTCGCTCGATGAAGACGCCACCTGCAGAGGGTGCCCTTTTTCGGTACGTGATGTAGTACTCACTGTCGGACTGGCTGGTTTCGTGTTTGAACGATTTTGGAAACCCTTTCCTGCAGTACCGCTCGCCCATGCACACGGCTGTTGGATTGTGTTCTCCACATGGATTGTGAATCATATGCTTGAGCACGACCTCTTCGAGTTCTGGATCTTGGGCAGACGGGATCTCGGCAGAGATAATGCGGTCGACATTTTCGGGAGTACGCAGATCATTCTTGGAGACTTCATCTAGGAAAAATACAACGTGAGCGTGGGGAAGACCGCGTTTCTGAAACTCGATGACTCGTACATGGGCAACAACGGTTCCGAATACTTCTTCGTTGATGACCAAGGACATGAGATCTTTCATTTTGAGACGAAACACACGTGCGCACAGATCCGGTCTGTCCTGAGGCGTTTGGTTCGGCAGTAGGGCTCTTGTGATCTCCGGCCAGCTTGGATTGCATGTCATGGTGAGGAAGATGTCCGGGTGGCCAATTTGGTTCGATATAGCAATGATGTCGTGCATCTGCTGCCTCATATAGCGGTCACCTCCAATGTACGTGGAAGGGAGAATGAACAGTCGTCCCGCACGCACGGCATCGGTTTCATCTTCAGCACGACGGGAGTCTCCTAGGCTGTCGCGCAGTGAGGTGTAGTCGGCGGCTCGAAGTTGTGTCTGGTTGTGGCGGAGATAAGAAAGCCTTTCTGCCTCCACTTTGCAGAACTGGTCAACTAAGTATTGCTGAAAGAGTGGTGCTGCGTGCAAGATTGTGCTGAACTCGCCTGATCTTTCGAACAAATGCCATCCGTAGTACATCATCGGAGTAATCTTGGTACGTCTGCCGTCTTGAACACTGGAGAATCGAAGCTCTGGATACCATCCATCTCTACCGTTTGGGAACAAAAGCACGTAACTCAATGGATCGTATGCGCGATGACTGACTGAAATCGGATCCAGCACTTCGTTCCCGTTACTGTCCAGAGTCCCTCTCCTGCGCACGACGATATCTCTTCGCCCAATCTCTCCGTCTTAATTTCCAGGGATCAATGCGGCGACTTCAGAAGCTTCGGGACCATTGTACCGGCGCACGTGCTCATGACTTGGCCTGCGGTCGGCATGGATGACCATCTGGTACGTGGCAGGACAGTTGTTTTGAGGAGATTGAGCCCATTCTCGCATACACAGAAACGTCTGCACGTAGGGGTTGCATTCGTGCAGCATGTGTGTCAGTTGCATCATCAGTGCCTCTTCCAGTTGTCTAGAGGTTCCAAGCCTTGTGCGCGTCTGGGTGGCGTAGTCAGTGTCATGAATGTAAACGGAAGCATAGGAAGGCGCCCGCCCTTCGGATGGCATCATGGGACCCATGTAATGGTACATCCCGCCCTGCATCGTCATTGTGGGATTAAAATTAGAAGGACCGGGACCTCTGTTCACCCATTTGGCGACCACGGATGCCATCGATAGCGCTACATTGTATGCTCGAATGTTCTTACGGAAGCTGCAGGCCCTTGGAGTATCATCGATGAGAAGAGAGCGCAGAAGAGCTGGCGGGTCGGGGAGAAGCGGCAATGACAGCTTCCCCTTCCCACAGCATGTGGAAAAAATGGGCCTTGCGGCAGAGCTGCTCCCGATGCGTTCCTGGACGAAATGCAGAGCTTTGCAGTGCGAACACTCAACACAGATCATGCCGAGATCGCGGTACGAAGGTGAGGACTCGGGTAGTGGAGGGAAGAGCTGTCGAGAGGCACTTCCAGCCTGGCGGTCGGATCTTTGCCGCGCAGCAATGACGGGGGATATATCCACAGCTCTCGCTTGTCGCATTGCCAAGCGATTCGACTCCTGTCTCGAAGATCTCAGTGGAGTATTTTCGTCGGCTCGGCCTCTTTGCGTTGCAATAAGATCCGATTCTCGCCGCCCCTCACGAATAGGAGTACATTCCTCCGCTCTAGCGCCTCGTGTCGCAATGCGATCCGCTTCGCGCCGCGCATTTCAGAGGGGGGTGGTTTCTCCCGCTCTGCGCGCCCTGGCTCTCTCCCTCAGTCGACGGAGACGCTCCTCGCGCTGCTCAGACGTCTCTGCTGCTCTTCGTGCTGCAGTACGTTCACGGTTGGCTTGACGACGCGCTTCCCTCTGAGATTCGGTTTGTTGCCCCGTCCGGATTCTCGCACGGGCTCGACGTGCCTCACGACGTGCTTGAGCGTCAGATTCAGACTCTTGCGCTCTTCTTTCCCTTGCACGCGCGTTTCTTTGCTGCCGTCTTGCTTCTGCCACGTCTTCGCCCGCTGTTCCCGCCATTTATGTTCTGCTCGGCGCGCTAGTGTTATCCCTGCAAGTGCAGCTAGGGTTGACGCAAGTGCAAGGGGTCCGTTGTAGATCGCTATGAGTCGTAGCAAGCAGTCCTCAAAGGTCTAAACGCAACGTCAGCCAGCTAGGTCGTCCGCAAGAGCACTTAGCAAAAGAGTAACAATATAGGGCCTTTATTGTCTTGTACTATCCCGTGATTCAAAAGAACCAAAAACGAAATAGAAATAGACTAATGGTACTAGTATACACAGGGTACAGTATTAATACTCAGAGTACGACCACCTTGTCTATTTCTACTCCCAGGGAGCCCGGTATTAGAAAGAACCTCTTGCAAGGCTCTTCCCGCCGGGGTCGCTATGTACGCGCGCTCCCTTTTCCCTCAGTGCGGTGGTTAGGTTTCCCAAGCCCTAACGGCACCTACACTGGGTCTTCTTGCAGCCTCTACAGTTTGACGGAGGCTGCGTTTGATCTTCGTTGTCGACGTTGAAAACAACGTCAGTCCGACGTCCGCAGATTGCTCTGCGGAGGCCGTTGTTCCGAGCCCGATACTACAACACCAAGAAATGGTGTGCTATTGAATTAGGCTTCCTGCACAGCGGCAGACTACCACGCGTTACTAAAAGCAAAGCGCAATAGCACCTAGGGACTATCCGGATGCCGTCAAGCAATCCGGTAAACTTTTCGCGGGGAATGCCGTATTCAACCCACTACTAAGCCGGCATAGAATCACGATCGCTGCCTTGCCCAGACTCTGGTCACCACGCTACCAGGGAACGGTCACGTGGTGAAAAATTGCTGAAGGTTGTTGAACTCGAAAGCCGGTACTGTGCTGCCGACGTGCCGCTATGTAAAAAAGGTTTCTATTCGTGCGCGCTTTCGCCTCACCGCCACTTGTCACCAGGGGCGCCGCCACGTGTCGCCACTTGTCACTGGCACGCTACTGTAGTGCCCCATTGGTGTAACAGTTCCAAATTCAATATAAAATTAATTTTACCGCCAGGTGTCGCCATTTGTGACTCGGGGCGGC